AGTATAAACAGTACATAGTAAAGTTTAATTTTAATTTTTAACAATTATTTAATTATTTATTTGATTTTCCATATTGCTACATTTTATTCTATTCCTGTTTTAATTAAATTTTAATTGTTTATTAATTCAGCGTCGCAGTGGCACAGTTGGTAGTGCTGCCGCCACACAGCTAGAAGGTCGCTGGTTCGAGCCTTGGCTGGGTCAGTTGGCGTATCTCTGTGGATTTTGCATGTTCTCCCTGCGTTCGCGTGGGTTTCCTCCGGGTGCTCCGGTTTCTCCCACAGTCCAAAGACATGGGGTACAGATGAATTGGGTAAGCTAAATTGTCCGTAGTGTATGAGTGTGAATGAGTGTGTGTGGATGTGTCCCAGAGATGGGTTGCGACTGGAAGGGCATCTGTTGCATAAAATCGTGCTGGATAAGTTGACGGTTCATTCTGCTGTGGTGACCCCAGATTAATAAGGGGACTAAGCCGAAAAGAAAATGAATGAATGAATGAATGTTTGTTAATTGATTTCGGTGGCAAGGTTTAAAAAACGGGGGAAAAATACAACCTCGATTGTAAAAAAAAATGTTTTGTTAAAGCTTGGAAAAATATCACATATAAATGTATATAAAAAAAGAAAATGTATTATATGTATACATATATATGCTAATAGCCTAGTTAGTATTAAAATGAACTTTTATATGCTTTAAAATTTACTTGTATTATTTTTTTTTATTGGTCATTTTTTCTTTAAAGAATAAGATCCAAGATTTAGAATAAAAGTTCAAATGTTTTTTCTATTTAACAACAAGAAGAAAGATGACATCGCTGATTCTTCTCGGTCTTAAAGCCTTCTTCGATAAGTTATTTTCACAATTTTTTTGATGGTATAGCAGTCAAAATACAAGAAGTGAGCTCATGCATGGGACAAATTCTGGACCTTTGTCAGTCAGGTTAGGTCTTTTGAACCACCCGAATCCACCATGGCTACAGGCCAGGTAAAATCTACTTAAATACATCTCTCAGAGTTCAGCTGCATATGTCAACTATATAGCATTGACTTTAAAATATTGTTACTGCTCTAGAGAATGACTTTAGCAACCTTTGACTTATACATTTTAACATAATTTAATATAATTTTAGTGTCATGGAAATGTGACAGAAAACTCGAGATTTCTTTGTGTGGCAACAGCTTGAAATCTTTCCCAAGTATACATTTATCAGCCTTTTCCCCAAGTAAACCAATTATAGAGAAATAATTGTGCCGTAAAACTATTTCAGATTGTCCGTCCCTTGATGGTGTTATGTACAGTCTGCTCAATGCACATGTAAACAAGCTGCTAATAAACTGCAAATTATTCACTGACAGTAAGGCTCGACAGGGAAACAAGTCCCTTTGAACAATTAATCACTGTCTCATATTTCTGATTGAGGTGTGGAAGTTTCCTTTAATTAGCTAAGCTATGAAAATCTAAATACATATGTTCCTGACCTAAAAGTCTTTTGAGGTATATTTTTATTGGTTTTATATTTGTATTAATAGGTATCCAGCTGGAATTATTTTACGTTTTTTTAAAAAAATTGTAGTATAGCAGGAAATAAATCAGTATGTTACATAACTAAAACAATAGGTGGCGACAAAAATGCCATTTAAAAAATAGGACTTTTAAGTAGGCCAGTTGATTCAACCAACCAACCGATTCGCTACCACCTATTCACTTCCAATAGACTCAGGAAGTAAACAGCAATTAGTGATTCGGTACATCAGTTATCCGCGTTGCTTTTGCTGGAGCAGATGTCTAAAATGTAAGTTATTTAATTAACATCTTGTTTTATTGATTTGTACTGTACTGTAGCAGTATTAAATGACATCACATACATGATTTAAACTGCCATCAAGTATCGACTCTTGCCTTCCGTGTTTGAATCTTTCGATGAATTTGTCCCTGAAATCCATCTGTCCATTGCTTTATCAACATATCACATTAAGTTATGAATGCAGTGCTATAAGCGTTTAATGGTGAAGAGAAGACATTCTCAACTGAATGGAATAGTGGCATTTTAAGTAAGAGTATATCTGCTGATCTGATATTGTAAGTGTTTGATCAGTATACAGTACCCACAAACTAGATATATAACTTACTGTGGTAATTTACCAACCAAAGCTTTAAAAATAAAAACTAAGTTATGTATTATATCTTAGATAAGATCATTAGATCATTTAAAATAAATTACATATACTGTATTTTTCTACTGGGTATATCACACTATAAAACAGTTTAATGTGGTAAAAAACTAAAGTGTCCTACAGAATTTATAACTTTAGTCAATAATAGTATATGCTGTAGCATTCAAAGTGGTATAAAGGCTATAATATATAGCCTATGGTATAAAACATGGGACACAAAGTAATATTTCAAAGTTACATGTTTTTTTTTTAAAAAAAAAGATAAGCTGAGAAAAATTGTATTTACATGCTTTAGAACCATTTTATCAAACATTACATATTCAAATGGGCTATTTGCACAGCTAGTGTTTTTCAGCCAGATGTGATTATTTTCAATTTCATAAGGTTCCTTTTACAGCATCGATGTTGTAATGTAACTCAAATATAATTGGTTGAGTAGATTTAAGCATCCATTTGGCTGTTATAGCATAAAAACAGACAAAAGATCGTTTAAACCCAGCCGCCGTCACAAGCAGCAGGCTAGCGCCAAAATTCTATTTAAAATACTGGGGTCCCTACTGAAAAATCCAGCTTAAACCAGCCTAGGCTGGTTGGCTGGTTTTAGCTGGTCATCTCCCATCCTGACCAGCTAAGACCAGGCTGGAAATGGCTGGAAACCAGCCTGGAAATGGCAAAAACCCCTCTAAAACCAGCCTGGTCGACCAGCTAAAACCAGCCAACCAGCCTAGGCTGGTTTAAGCTGGATTTTTCTACAGGGGTAAAATTAATTTCCATATTTTAAAGACATGGCGTGGAAAAAATATAATTTAATGCAGTGCTTCTTGTTTGGTCTGATATCCTCTTTATATCGTATCTAGGCCAGGAAGTGAAGATCACTTGTTTTTAAAGAAATCAGATCCTAAATGCGGCGATTTTGTTTGGGATAACAATTAACCGGAAGCCCACGGGCTGGCTGACTGAAATTACAAGTCTGTGTGAATATACCCCATTGTGATTGGAAAAACGAGGGGAGACAATTAACATTACATTAAAAAAAAACTGTAAATAGATGTTATGATTTGGGGTGAAAACATGAGGTTATTCTTTTGATAGGTTATTATATTTATAAATTAGTTATTATTAGTTATTATTATTTTTTATATATTAATTAGGCATTAATTATGACAAAATGCAGGGTAGACACTTTTATCTAAACAATTATGTCTCAACTGGCAGATTTGCAAGCTCTCATTGCAATTCATTTTAGCACTTTATTTGATTCTTAATTCAGTTAAATGAAAATAGATAGAAAACATGCCACTGGCACGATAAAACTGTAAGAAGAACTGTAAAGTAGACTCTTTTTACTTCAGGTAGACCTACACAAGTGTTCAATAAAACACATTGCACCTCTTTATTTCAAATGCATGTGGTCAATGAGTAGTCAGAATAGGAAATAAAGAATATAAAAACAAGATTGATTCATAATAAAATTAATTTCACATATTTGTGGGTGTAATTCAGTTGGAAGATGTTATAAAAGAAAACCAGTCCTGAAGCCTTCAGTAGTGCTAACTAGTAAGTTCTTTGACATCACATCTCTTCTGTTTCATCAAGCATACATTGTTCTTCTTCATCAAAAACGACCCAGATATGTCTAGATGTGTTAAAGTAGGGATGATAATCAGGATACTCTGTTTAATATGGCATGTGATTTGCTCATATTGATTTGTCTTTGTTCTAAATTCAGATTAAAAGCACGAGATAAAAGCTCATTTTTTTCCGGCGGTTAATGCTTCTTTGTGAAATTCCATTAATTTGTAATATGCTTATTCTTGGTTCTCTTTAAATAAACGCGAGCATGTGCTTGTAGGCTCACTGGTAAGGAAGCTGAGCGGATCTACTTTTCGGCAAATGTCAAAGGTTCAGTGGAGTGGAGTGAAACTCAGAGGCCAAAATACATTAGAGAGCTCTCGAAGCAATCTGCCTTGACATGCAATGTTAGTGGCCCTGCCACGAACTGTGACACATGTCATGGACATTGTTGCCCGCTGAGTGAGCGTGTGATATTTCTTTGTTGTGACAATACCATTACCACATGTCCAAAAGCATGAGCGGTGGAGAGGTTATGGAAAAGTGTTCTGATATTCCTATGAATGTCTTTTGCACCGCCTGAGGGAACGTGCTTCAAACTGATAGGTTACTAAATTTGAATTAAACCAGCCCAACAAATTGGAGCATGCAGTTTTATTTGTTAAGCATTGCTAAGGTGTGCTGAGCAGCTTTTAGCTTGTTGCTATATGGTTGGTGAAGAAGATTTCTATTCTCTCAGTGTGAAGTATTTTCTAAGTGTAAAGCAGTTAATTTTCTCTTCACAAAATGTATGTAGTGTTTGCAGCAAACATGCCAGCCTGTGTTAAAAATACAGTGATATGTCTGTGTAAGATGAGTATGCCTACAGGAGCAACACCAGGAGAAGGCTGAGTGACTGATTGTGTAGAATAACTGAATATGTAAAGCACTGATTATATAGGTTAAATACTTCTATGAAGCTATATGTGTCAGACGTTAGAATGAGTAACATATTATTAAGTTATTATCCTATCATAACAATGTATGTAAACACTTAATCCTTTTGCATAAGTTGCATCTATACTTTGCTGACATAGACCTGTAACATCTCTGCTGACATGAGCTAGTGGGCTGAAAGCCAAGAATAGCAGGACCCCTTAGACTAGAAACCTATTCAAAAATGGTCAAGAGTTAAAAAGAGACTTAGGGGTGTGTCAAATAATCCTGTATAAAAATTGTAACAAACACACTGAAACTTCAGAAGGTGCAGGAGAGACTTCAGAAGGTGTCCAGGAGGGACTTCAGAATGCTCTGGGGTCTGCTCTGCTCTTTCTCGGCTTTATGGAGAATAAAGTCTATTTTCTGATATTCAAAACCTCTGGTCTGATAATTTGTAATTGATTAGTCGTCGAATTTACGACAAATGGCGCCCAACGTGGGGCTGAGAAGAGACGATCGAGTGACACTGGACATGCTGGGGCTTGGAGGAAAAACACAAATATGTGGCCACGATAAAAAACGGTAAGCAATTTTAAGCTTATACGTTTGTGTTTTTTCTACCAAGGACCTGCTTGTAACGGTAAAAAGTCACTTGAACTGTTTCTCCAGCTATAACGAACTACAAGTAAAACTAAAAAAGTAAAAGTAAAGATATAAAAGGAAAACAATGGGGTTTTGAATACCAGAAGAAAATAACAATTTGCATGCAAATGATCTGTGTTTTCCTAAGAGGGCCTTGACGGATAGGATAAACGTTAACTAGTAACTGTTACTCATATTTGGGAAATTTTTAATATTATGAAGAATATGCATAGAGCATATTTATGTTTTAAAAGGAAGTTCTTAAAGTGTGGTGACAGTTAAGAGATTAAAGCAGATTAATAAAGTAGAGAGAAGCGCGCAAAGACCTCGGAGTACCCGTTCTGTTTTAATAATGATAAATATTATTATTCAGGAGGCTGGGGGAAAAAAGGCAAAAATCCTGTGAAATGCTATTTTTACTGAAGGACAGTAAAGACGGGAGCAGAAGTAACAGGCACTCAAGAGGAGTGTAGTGAAGAATTCTGTGGTTACAGCTCTAAGGTTAGAGGCTGTTCGGACAGGTCACTCAAGAGGAGTGAGATGTATTTATGTAATTGTAAGTATTTGTGTATTTGTCTGTGTTGCTGGGGTGCTTAGAAGCTTCACCTTTGATCTAGAGAGACTAGAATAGAGGTGAGGTTCAGGTTACACAGTGTAAGAGATGAGGTTAGGATGAGTGAGAAGTATGATTGTGTTTAGAAGTATGTTTGCAATAAGAGTGAGTTTAAAAGAATTATCGTTTTAAATTATAATATAAAAGAAGGACTGCATGTGTTGTGTGATTTAAGAACAATAAGATAGAGAGTGATGCAGTTTAGGGAAGAGATTGTGATACAGAGGAGGTTTAAGCCTCATAAAATTAATTAAGATCATATTGCATTTGAAAGACACAGACTGAAAAGAACAATATACTAGTTAAACATTTTTCTGAATAATCTCTGTGTGTTTGAAGTGTTTTAAGTATGAAATAGGCAGAGAGGGGACTGAAATTCCTGACATGTCGACAGTCTGGAAGAAGGTCTGCTTCAGGAGTGGTAAGAATCTGTCTATTTTAAGAACAAAAGTTTCACAGGACAGATAGAAGCTAAAGAGTAAAGAAATATTATAAGGTATTAAATACATAGAAATATAAAGTAATGTAATAAGATAAATGAAATAAAAAAATATACATAATAGAATAAGATTTAATAAATAAAAAGTGTTAATAAAAATGCAACTTGAAGCTATACTAATAAATATTAAGAAATTCAAAAATTGCATAAAACTAACTACATATGGAGATAAATTGTTAAAGTGATCAGGAAATAAATTTACTAAATCAGTATGAATCAAAAAAGATAAGTTAATAATTTGAGTAAATAAAGAATTAGAAGAAAAAACTTTAATGAATATTGATTAATTGAAGAGTTAATGATCAAATGTTTAAGAAAAATAAGTTTAAAGAAAAATGAACTAGGAAAATCTAAGAGACAAAAATGCTAATTTTTAAAAAGGAAAAGAAGCATAGGAAAATGGAGAAAAAAGAAGTCCAAACATTGTTTAATAGAATAAAAAGAGAAGATGTTTTAAAATATATATTAAAGAGATCAAATAAAAATTAGAAAAAAAAAACAGTAACATTTTAAAGAAAACAGGATTTGGCTTTAAAAGATAAAATTATGTTTAAGTGCAATAAAAAATTGTTGTGGTCTAAGTTGACTGTTGTCATCTGTTTTAAAGTCAGCTACAGACTGTCATCTGAGCCAACAGCTATTTGTAGTAAAAGCAGTGAGTTAGATGTAAAGCATAGACACTGAAGAAAAATGAAAGAACATCATAGTGAGTTCAAAAATTATATAGTTAATATTTTATGTACCTAAAAATTAATTTAAAATTAAAAATTGCATTTCAGATTGGAAAAATGCTTAAAGTAAACAAACATGTAGAGTTAAAATAGTACTATGAACTTGAAGCTATTGCAGTAAGGACTTTGAATAGGTATATTAGACATTTGGCCACCATATAGTACTGTTGAATTAAAACAGGTATGGAAATGTTAGAGATATTAAAATAATGTAAAATGTAATGTAACTAGTGAGGAAGCACTAGAATAAATTAGGAAAAATAAGTGAAGCACAATCTGAAGCCAAAGAAATTATCTATAAGAACATTTAACAAATAGAAAATTAAGCATATTTACATATGATAAAAATTATTGAGAATTAGAAAAAATAAGTTGTTAAACAGTAAACAAAAATAGATAAATAAACTAATTAATTAATAAAAGAAATGGATAAAAGGAGTCTTTATTTGATGAAGGAAAAAATGGGAAAAAAAATAATTTATTAAGTCATGAGCTAAATTCTAAATATATTAATTAAGAGGACATAGGGATGAACTTTGGGGGACTGTAGTCTTGTACCTACCAGACATCTGAGTGCACTGGCAAATGGAAAGGTGTTTGAAAAACACAGAGCAAAATGGCTGTTGACACTTGTGACATGCTACAGCAGTGATGCAGGCACTGCATACTCAGGATTTACTGAGGACTGAAAAAGCTACATGTGTTCAGAGACATTCAAAAGAGACACTAACAAGAGACTGATGAACTGATCAAAAAGAAAAAACGCTCCACCAGAACTTTACATCAGCTGAGTCAAAGAAAGAAGCCAGCCCAAAGAGAGAGGGGGAAAAAGCTGAAAAGAAAAGACTGTAGCGCCAATCTGGAGCTAGTTGTCTCAGGTTGCGAGGGGGGATAGTCTGACAGTCCATCTCAAAGTAGCTCCTAAAGTCCAAATTAAGTTCAAGCATTACAGAAGGAAAATTAAGAACAAAAGTTTAGCTACCCATTCTTGTATCAAATCAGACTCCTGTCAATTTGAGAGAGAAATTATTATCATGCAAATTTTTAAGTAAGAAAAAGTGTTATAAGGAAATTCTACAGTGAAACTTTAAATATTGAATGATATATTATGATGAATGTTAAATAATTTAGGTTTAAGTTTTAATAGGTTTAATCATAAAAGTCCTTAAACGTTGAAGGATAAATTACAATGCAGCAGATTGACTAAAGAAAAAGAGAAAAAGCTTTTGATAAGGCAATAAATAATTTGGAGATTAAATAAGATTGGAATAAAGTATTTAAATTAAAATTAAGTAAAGGAAATATCTTAACATAATCATGTTATGAATGGCCTAAATCAAGATTAAATATTGAAAACTGGAAAGAGATTCAAATTTAGAAAAATGATTACAAAAATGATACAGTTAAAGGGAAGATTGAAATAACAATTGAAATAAATTCATAAGATATGGTAAGGTCAAAAAGTAATACTTCTCAATTACTATAAAACAAATTGAAAGAGAAAAGTGTTTAAGAAAAAAAATATTGTTTTACATGAAAACATATGTGAAGAATAATTAGAAGAAAATATTAAGGAATAATAGTTAAAACAGAGCAAAAAGAAATTTACAAAACATACAGTAAGTTTTAGTCAGTTGATAAAAAAGTGCATCAAAATTGTATGAACAACTAGTTTAATGGGAGTGCCTTAGGAAATAATTATGAGCCAAAAGAAAATAACTCAAAGACAAAAAAGGAATTTATATATAGATCAGAAAATAAATTAGCAAAGAAAAAAGTGTCAAGTTCCAACTAAATGATTGTCATTACAGGACTGAGATGCAGATAAAATCAGCCAGCACAGTGAGGGTTAAAATGGATTAGATGCAGATCTGTCCAGAAAGAAAACCACTAAATGCTGAAATAGGTATAAAACTCTATTGAGAAGTGTAAAAATATAAGAGCACTAATAGAAACATCTAGATAATGTAATATGCAATCTGTCCTAGACATTTCTATTTAAATTTAAAGTAGTAATAAGTGTATAAATGACTAATAATTTTTTATGGAATTTAAAGGCAATAATTACATATGAAGACAAAACAAGATTATGTTTAGGTTATGATTTAAGAAAATCAATAAGAAAAGATTTTCCAGCTGAAGTTCATATTGTATGTGGAGATATGTTCTTTTGGATGGTAAATATATTAAGTGGTTTAGTTTCTATTGAGTTTATTTTAGGTAACTACCAGAGGAGGGTAGAAACTTGTTCGTACTTATGTAGGCTGATGACTACCATATACTGTATACACCAGAATGCATAAAGGGTTAAAATTAGGGAGAAGATCATAGGATGAACACTGTCACAATATGTGGATGATTGAATTATCTACAACTTCACATAGCTCTAGTTCAATTAAAAGACTTGAGTGGAGACCATTGCTCCAAACAGTAAAATATGATGACTGTTTTTGATGTTGACTGGATAGAGAATTATTCTGTAAACAAGCACAGTTGAGAAACTATGATGAGTAGATGATTAGAGGTAGCATCAGGAGCAGATTATGAAGCAGGGATAGTTATTACATCTGTGACAAAAGAAGTACTTCCTAAATTTTGAAATGCCTTCAGAAATAAGTTCATAATGGGTTTGCATTCATAAAGTATTCGTGAAGTTAATGAATGATCAATAAATAAAAACATCTAAAGGAGTATGAAAAATTATGAATAAAGCAAAAGAGAGAATAATTGTATTATGCTCAATTACCAGAAATGGCTGAAAGAGATGAAGATGATCCATCAAGACCAACGCTCAATGAAATATGTGAAAATAATAAACTTAATGGGATTAATTTGCTAACAAGTGCATTGGTGACTGATGGCATGGAAACTGACAGAAACAAGCATCTAACACTGCATCGCATGAACTACTCTTGGGTCGACCCATGAAAGAAACCTTGCAAGAAACAGCATGACCCTTGCAAGAAACCACATGAAACTTGGCATATAATCTCACCTATAACCTTGCATAAACCTCTTGGAATGGTTTGCAAAGATGTCTAATGCAGTAGGGACTTTAATGAAGAAACAAATAATTGCCATGTGCATAGCGATATCTGTGCAGGAAACCAGAAAGGAGCCATGTGAGAGAGCAGTGATACAAGGTCCAACTGGTCTAGGTGATTGAGTCTATCTGAGGATGCTCAGACAGCTGCTAAAGAGGATGCCATTGATGAGGTACCAATGCCTCAAAGAAGCGAAAGGGAACAACTCCAGTGAGGGAAAGCTGACTGGAAACAGAGGAGCCTGAATATTCCAAAGCTCTAAACTACGAAGTTCAACTTGTGGAAGGAGAAGTTTATCAGAGCAAAGTAAAGAGTGATTCTGATAATGTGCCTGAGTACCACATACAGAAGTGCCACAAGTCAAGGGATGATGAATGCACAACTGCAGATTTCAGAACTCAGACTCTTAACCACACATCTCCATCAACATCTTTTCAAAGTTTAATGAAGATGCTGATAGCTTACAAGAAGAGAAACAAGGATGAGCAAAGATCAAGAACAACATTTGATGCTTTTTACGTTTACATATTGATTTTGTTTGCATATTGCTTTCATGGTACCTATATATAATATCACTTAAGTATATTCTACATGAGTGTGAAAACTAGCAGCGAGCACTGAACCAACTGAATACTTATGCTTAAAACTTTATTGTCTTTGATGTGTTAAGAGAAAAACAGAGTACAGTCTTTTACTTCCTTCAAATCAAGGGGGAAGACGTTTGGCTGGACTTCTGTCAAAGTACAGTGGCATAATCTAGTCAATTGATAACAGCTATGTGGCTAATATCAGTCACTAGATAGAGGTAATTAAGAGAACTGGATTATGAAATTGCACTTTGGGGTTAAAAGACAATAATATTAAGACTAAAGTCTTAAGAGGAGGGATTGAAGAAGATTTCTATTCTCTCAGTGTGAAGTATTTTCTAAGTGTAAAGCAGTTAATTTTCTCTTCACAAAATGTATGTAGTGTTTGCAGCAAACATGCCAGCCTGTGTTAAAAATACAGTGATATGTCTGTGTAAGATGAGTATGCCTACAGGAGCAACACCAGGAGAAGGCTGAGTGACTGATTGTGTAGAATAACTGAATATGTAAAGCACTGATTATATAGGTTAAATACTTCTATGAAGCTATATGTGTCAGACGTTAGAATGAGTAACATATTATTAAGTTATTATCCTATCATAACAATGTATGTAAACACTTAATCCTTTTGCATAAGTTGCATCTATACTTTGCTGACATAGACCTGTAACATCTCTGCTGACATGAGCTAGTGGGCTGAAAGCCAAGAATAGCAGGACCCCTTAGACTAGAAACCTATTCAAAAATGGTCAAGAGTTAAAAAGAGACTTAGGGGTGTGTCAAATAATCCTGTATAAAAATTGTAACAAACACACTGAAACTTCAGAAGGTGCAGGAGAGACTTCAGAAGGTGTCCAGGAGGGACTTCAGAATGCTCTGGGGTCTGCTCTGCTCTTTCTCGGCTTTATGGAGAATAAAGTCTATTTTCTGATATTCAAAACCTCTGGTCTGATAATTTGTAATTGATTAGTCGTCGAATTTACGACATTGGCAGGGTGTTCTGGTTGCTAGGCAGTGCTTATGAGAATATTGACCTTATTCTGCAATGCGTAAGTGTGATCTTTTTTGCGATGGTTATAGAACTTTTGTTTCAGTCGCCTATGAGAGAAATAAATAATATAAATCAGAAAGCGGTCAAACTACTTGCACTACAAACAAGTGTGTTCATGACTATACATAAAAAGTAGAGTAATATAATCAGAAAAAGAAACAGTTTGCAACATCAAGCAGCATAAGGAACTGATTTTAACAGCTAAAAATCAAAGAAAGTGATTCGGATCCTGGCACAAAAATCTGTGTGTTGCATGCAAATACGCTCTTCAAAATAAGGCTGATGCTGTAGAAGAGCTTATTTTACTATATGGAATTGAAAGGTTCTATGGATTAGGGCTGAACAATATATCAGATGAGCATTGATATTGCAATGTGCGTGTCCACAATAGTCACATCGCAGGATTAATATTTTTATAAAATAGTGAAATATAAAGATATCATTTTGATATTATTGTATAATTTCATTTATGCAATGATGACCATGTTGTTTTATGTTTGTTAAATTTTTGTATTTGAATAGTTAGTCTCCACAGAAAACCATAAGGCACTGTTTTTAATTTTGCTCTGTCATATGATTGTAATAGAATATATTTTATATTTATACAAATTGGAGCGTGCCATTTTATTTGTTAGACATTGCTAAAGTGTTTTGAGCAGCTTTTAACATGTTAGCATTTAGCATGTGGTTGGCAGGGTGTTCTGGTTGCTAGGGAGTGCTTATGAGAATATGGACCTTATTCTGCAATGCAAAGGTGTGATTTTTTATTTTGCGATGGATATAGAACTTTTGATTCAGTCGCCTATGGGAGAAATGAATAATAAACGTGCTCTGCGATCAAGTGTGTTCATGAATATACAGAAAATGTAAAATAATATAGTAAGAAAATATCAGTTCGCAACATCAAACAGCTTAACAAGTTGTTTCTAACATCTTGAAATCAATGGAAGTGATTGAGATCGGAAGACTTGAGCCAAAAAGATTCCAATGATTGCGCCCAATTATATGCGAAGAATAAGGTCAGTAGCAGAAAGGCAAAGAAATCATGTTACAATAGCAGTTGATTTTAGTCATATTTGTGGAAAAACGCAGAAGCACACAATATAAACTGATGCTAATCACAACAGAAAAAGCAGACCATTTGATAGTAATATCTTTTGAAAAACATCTCACAAACAATCAGAATAAAATTGACTAACATGTATATACCTTTATAAACACTCTTTGTGTGTATAAGAAGCTAATATTATGCATTCCATCTTTAATCATTAGTAGTGTGAGTGCTTATAGCAGGGGTGCCCAAACCCTGTCCTTATGGGCTGGTGTCCTGGAGAGTTTAGCTCCAACTTGCTTCAAATTAAATCTGCAATGAGGTTTCTAGTACTGCACATCTAAAACCTTGATTAGCTGGTTCAGGTGTGTCTAATTAGGGTTGGAACTAAACTCTGCAGGACACTGACAAGACAGGACAGAGTTTGGGCACCCCTGGCTTATAGTGAGTGTTTATATATTATACAGTAAAACAGTATTTCTCAATCACGTTCCTGGAGGGCCACCAGCTCTGCACATTTTCCATGTCTCTTTAAGCAAACACACCTAATTCAGATCATCAGCTCATTAGCAGAGACTAAGGGTGCTTTTAAATTTGGTTCAATTGCCTGGACCGTACCTAAGTTCAGTTGTCCCCCTTGCTACAGATTTGTTTTCACAGTGTCTTTTTTTTCCTTCTGAACACCAGTGCACTTACGTCGTCATTCTGCTTTACTGAATCTTTTGGTTTTGGACATACAGAAAGCGACTCACATCTATCTACCGCAAAAATATTATGTGCATTCAGAACATCACACAGTGTCTGCAGAAGCTGTTTTTGTATGAGACAAGCAGACATTATCACTGTGTTTGCCCTGGCTCAGTCCCGCTTGCATCAAATGTGATCCACAGACACACAGACAAATTAACTTTATAAAAAACAATAGTTTGTCATACAGTTGGAGGTTCACTTCCTTTATGTGATGCGATTGCATTCATACCAGAAGTGAACCGGACCAGAGTTCACATGAACCATATCCCAGATCACCTCTTTCAGGCGGACTCGGGTACGGTTCACGGGTGTGCACCCAAGTTCAGAAGACACATTCACACTAGCTAAATGTACCGTACTCTATGCATGGGCCAGTAAAAGATTCTGATGGTATGATAATCTTGGACAGAAATATCCCGGTTCCATGGTATTGTGATTACTGCTCTAAAAAATTCTTTTTAAATGTCTGGGTAAAAAACTGAAAATGTTTTCCCTTTGAGAACAATATTTTTTTTTTTTTGAAAGATTTAAAATATTTTGGAGCAGTAAACATGTGAAGCAAAATAATGAAAATGAATCATTGACTTCTGCTGTCTTCATTAGTTTCAAAAACACAAATTTCTTTAAATTTTATGTAATTCTATCCAAACCGCGGTATACCTTGAAAACTTATCTTCCCATGCCTACTGTACTCTGATGTTAAACGAACCCGTGTGCGAACCAAAAGGGCTACTGTGAAAGCACCCTGAAAGACCTGTAACAGGTGCGATACACAAAGGAGACATCTAAAACATCCAGTGTGGGTGGTCCTCCGGTAACGTGGTTGAGAAATGCTGCAGTAAATCAATAGAGATCATTGGGAATCTGTCGCGGTCACAATGAAGACAAGGATGGTTATCTCTTTTCATCAATTTATTCAAACACACAGTGGATAGATCAACAGGAGAAGCAGGTAAGTGATATTCTTGGATGGAGAGCAGATAGAGTGTTGTTCACAATGTAAACAAGGATCTTCATTTAACCATCTGAGTATAAAGTCACTTCCCTTAATTGTGCGTTCACAGGTTTAGGAGAAACGTCCATAGGAGAAGGGGAACATCCATGGAAGAAGTTGAGCCTGGGTGAAGGTAAGTTGAACCATCTGACATCGATTACAGCCACTAAATGACTGGAATCGGGGAAGCTTTATAGGGAGGTGATTGATGATGCAGGTGTGTGGAATTAGTACTCAGGTAAGAGTGCTCGGGTGTGATGAGAGGTGGCAGGAGAAGGGAAGCGATGAATAGAGCTGAGGGAGTAAGATGTTGAGAGAGATGATGTTTGTTTTTGTGAAAAGTGGGTTCATTACATAGGTTTCTGTTCATTTTATACTGTTCAAACCGTATATTGCAGGGTGACCAATCGTATTCCTGGAGATCTACCTTCCTGCAGATTTCGGTTGCAACCCATATCAAACACACCAGCCTGTAATTATCAAGTGCTGTTCAGGTCCAGTTTAATTGATTCAGGTGTGTTTGATCAGGGTTGGAGCTGAACTTTGCTGGAAGGTAGATCTTCAGGAACAGGGTTAAGCAGCCCTGGTATATTGTATTGCCCTCACACCACCCTACCCCTAAACCCAACCATCACAGGAGACTGTGTACAACTTTACTCTCTGATTAAACTCATCCTGTGTGATTTATAAGCTTTTTGAGAAATGAGGACGTCACCAATGTCCTCATATTTCACCTCCTGATATGTCACAAAAACACGTACACACAAAAATCATTCAAGAATTTATTCTGCATAAATTCTGTGATTTTAAAAATCCATTGCTATTCTCTCTTGAATTGATTGTAAGCTTAGTTTTTAACAGTAGGTGG